ATTTTTTTTCTTATAAAATAAAAATAAATACTACAATTATATAATCCTTATTTTCAAATATTATCAAAAAAAATTTTTGTTTAAATATATTAATTTATAAAAATATAGATTATAGATATTGTTACATAAATTTTCCAGGCAAATTTGCCTGGAATAGCCTAGAGATTAAGGGATAATATAAATTAAAACAAATACTAGTTTTTTTAAAGAAATCACTAATAACTCAAAATTTTACTTATAAAACTATTCTTTATATTCTAATAAAAAAAATTTCTTGCAAAATTTTAGTATAAACTATATTTTATTCTAACTCTAATCTCAAGCTAACTCTGATTTTAATTTTAAGAAAAAATAATTGTTTTGATTTTTATATTATACCTGATCTTTAAATTTTAATAATTTTAATATAATAGCTATAGTAGCCTATGTTACAAATATATTAATTCTATTTTTTATAATATTATTTTTTATTAATAACTAATACTTCTTTTATTTACAAACTAAGTAACTTCATATTGTCTTGTAATACTTTTTTATAATTTTTTTTGTAAAACTGATTGACTAATTAATTATATCTAATATTTTATAGCTTACTTATATGAATTTTAAAACTTGAATTGAAAAAACTATAGATTTTATTAGTTGTTTTATTTTAAAATATTAAAAATTTAATATAATATCTTTGTATTATATACTAGTATTGTTAAAATCACTTCTAGTAAAAGTTAGTAGAATACTTAATCTTATTTGATCTCAAAATATTTTTTTTTAAACTGATTTCGGTGACTTCAGTTGTATAACAATCAATAACAGCAGCTTTACCAATACCAGTAATTGTAATTATTTGTTTAATGGATGATAAATCTGTGACCACGCTAACAAAATGTGGCGTCCCTGGAACGTAATATGATTTTAAAAATTCGAATTTACATTCTTGAGAACCTTTCATTTCTGCAGGCATAGAAAACAGAATAATTCCATTATTTGTAGTGACACGGTTAGGAATATACTATTCTTTGTCTCGTTTACATCAAAAGTTATGCAATCCTTTACAGATTCGGCCAAATTTACATAATCGGTTGCCAAACGCCACATGGTAGCGGTCATGGTATCAGATGAGTTGGAAAGATAATTTCTAACATAAATAGATAAATGTGAAGTAATGTTTGTTAATTTTCTGTTTAATTTTCCAGAAGGCCGTGGTGAAAGCGGCGAGGATGAATTTGAATTTGATAATTTAGAGTTAATTTTTGGATCAAAACCACAATTTTGACAATTGGGAGTAGAGCGATTTTCATCTAATATACATCCACATTTCTCACATTTAGGCGTAGTAAATTTTTTCGGAGCTTTAGAAAGATTAATAGGAGTTTTTGAATCAGAGTTTGTCACAAACTTGATCAAATGTAATAATGAATCTAGTTTGTATATTCTGATCATATCTTTCTTTCCAGCAATTGCAATCATGATATTAAACTCCTCAAGAATTTGCAATTTCTTAAATGAACATCCACAGATTAATTGTGTTGGCATTATTAAATCCCAATGAGTTGAAAAATCTATTACCCATAGACCATTATCATTTCCAAGAAGTAGGTACTGTTTATCAAACATTGCAGCGCTGTTCATTTGTTCAGATATGCAATGATTGGGAGACCCAAAAAGTTTGCTTTCAAATTCACCCTTATTTTCGTAAGGGTCGCGAACGCTATAATTTAACGTAGTATGTGCGCGTTGCAAATTTTGTTCATCGGAAAAGGTCTAAATGAAGGATTATAAAGAAATTTTAATGTTTTTTTTTTTTTTCTATTTATTATTATTATTATTATTTTGGATATAATTCTTACCTGAAAATTTTTCATGATTTGGTGATAGTGGAGCATTGAATTGAGCCCCTGATGCTAAATTAAACTCAGGAACAATATTTTCAACATGTTGATAGTTTGGGTATTCAGGTAATAATGCAAATTGCTCGACAATATTGGGAGCTCTTGGATTAAAATTGCTATGGTATTGATATGAGTCACTTGGTTGGTTTTGCATTTTTTTCTGTAATTTTATTAAAAAAAAAAGGGGATACAGTAGATACTTAAATAAAAAAAAAAGAACTTCGATATAGAAATAAGTATTTGCTGAAATTGTGATACATGACTATCCTTATATTTTTTGGCGCACAGAACTGTGGTCATCATATGTTACTCGTGGGTTCTATAAAAAAAAAAAAAGAATAATTTAGTTACCGTTATATCAAGGGTACACAATAACGTTGGCTATTAATCGGTTCATTCGGCCTGGTCCGATCTATGGTTAGACTGAATTGGACTACGTCTAGGATCGAATAGAGTTAGACCAGATGACCGATTATCAAATTAACGTTAACGTTAACAGTTTAGTCGAACTGTTAACAGAATGTTATGTGGTCTGGTCTCTTAGTCTTAAGACCGGACCAGTCTAGACTAGTTAATTATAAGACTATACTGTAGTACTAGACTGAACTGTACCAAAATAGACCAGACCAGACCGTTAACATCCCTATCTAAAATTGATTAAATTAGGACGAGCAATTATTATAATTTAAGATAGGACCTGATAAAATAATTTTATTGCAGGTCCACACAACCCGCAAATTAGGGTTTACTAAGTTTTTAAAAAGTTCAGCTCGCAATTTTTATAAATTCTGGGACATCTGAAAAATTGCTCTTTCCCGAAATCTCCTTGATCCCGTCCTAAGAATCACTAACATTTTGGAAACTACGTTGCCATCTCCGGATCAGGGCACAAAATTTCCGAATGCCGGAAGCTGCTTTTTCTCCGGCGGTGTTTATTTTAACCGGAACTTAGAAAACTCAGCAGTTTTTTAATAATGATATTGTAATATTTATTAATATTTATATACATACGTATATATGATATCATATTCCGAGAAAAGTCAAGGCGGAAATTGTCACGTGTAAACGGAAATCTCAGAAATTTTACAATAGGATTTGTGCCCTGCTCCGGATCGAAGTTCTGAGAACAGCAATATAGTTTGAAAGAGCGATTTTTCCAGGTGTCGCAGAATTTATGAAAATGACTAAAATTTTTCAACTTTGCCCGGCCAGTGCAGGCCTCTACATGGAATCCCTAAAATTTCGGGTCAAAGATCGACAAAAAAAAACATTTAATGTCAATAAGTAAAAACTCGAATTTTGACGTATTACATTAATAATTTTGGGAGATCCTCCTGTGTAAAAAAAGACTATATAGCCCTGTCCTTAGATTGATAGAAGAATCGTCAGTTTAGACCGGACCGATTAACCGCAATTCTGGTAAAGTAAACCCATCATCATCTTTAATTTTGATAAAAGCCACAAGTTTTTTTACCCAGTCATTGTCCAAACGAACACGACGTTTATAAATAATCCGAACTTCGACCAAAAACGCGCTCTTTTAACATTAGAAATTATAACAAATAAGAATAAGAAAATAACTCCCTGGGGAGATAATACATAATAACGAAAATTATCTAAATACGTTAAATACGTAATCGTTTTTAGGGTTTGAAGTTCGTAACATATTACCACGCGATAATCAGATTTTATGAATTACCAAAGATCCGTTAGTATGTAAATGCGCGAATTCCCCGTTTTAAACATAAATAATTGCGATAAAGTTGAGAGATCTTTCATAATTATGACCCAATATTAATTTTCCGAGCCTTTAGCGTTTAACCAACTGCGTTACTCTTCAGCCATGGAATCTTGGATGGCAATTTAACATCGATTCGTTATCTTGGTTGCTTGATGAGTGAATATGATATTTTAATAAAATTTTGATTCGTTGTTTATTAGGTCATATAAAATATATGAATCGGTTCTCATAACCCGGCCGGGTCAAAGTTTGAAAACTTTCAAAAAAAAAAATTTTCTACATGTTTTACTGCTACTTTCATAATTTCTGGAACACCTACTCGTTACCCGAAATCTTTTTGGTCATCCGGTAAATTATCTAA